CGACGCTCTTCCGATCCCCCCAAAACCCCAAAACCCCGTTTGATAGAATTTTTATAAGTAGAGAGGGAAATATTAAATAATTTCATTTAGCTGTGCTTATCAATGACTTAGACGATTAATCTATCACCATTGCCTAATAAATATATTGCAGAATTGCTTTGTTTCATATTCTCAATGAGCGAAGAATCCTCCTAGTGTGTTTCTCTTATACCCATTATTTGTAGCTTTAATATGAGCATCATTGGCACAAATAGGCTGGTTTTTGCCTTTATCAGTTCCACTGATTAATGGAAGTTAATAAAGCTTTGGTACTATGGGTAATCCTCTCTTTTCTAAAACTCTCTAATCTTATTGCTCCTTCAGTAGATCACTGAGCTTTTGACGAAGACTCTATGACATCATTTTAATCTATTCGTTATTATTTGTCAGATCCAGTCTATTTCCTTGCTTAAGCATGTTCATATATTATCTTGACTCTTTATCAATAGTTGTTTGACTAAGGTCAAGATCTTTTTATTAATAGTACTGCATTCCACTTGTTCCTGGCCTTGATCCATTGACTCTAAATCTCTAAGAACTTGCCGCTGAATCTCTCTTTGATTAAGGTCTTGCTTACTATTAAATGAATGATTTATCTCTATAAATTACCTTTTCTGGGGAGAACAATACATCATCTACCATTCTTTCTAAATCATCATCAGTCTCTATATTAATTATTAGTTTTTTCATGAGGATTTAATCTATTAATACCTTGTCTGTGTCTTTATTACTGAGATCCAAGTCTTCTTTAATGTCTAGCTCCGACTTAACCTCCTAATAAATGATGAAACAGAGATTAAATTTACTATCCATGATGTGCGCTTTAGATTAAATAAAATAAAAATTATAAATTTTAACTTTAAATTAAGAGTTTATTCTGATTGCAATTCTTGCAGTATAAATAAGTTGATAATTCATTATTATTGTCTACATCAGCAATTACGCCTTGATAGATTTGATATTAAATAGTTTCAAATAATTGATCAGGATTGTCACTTCTCTAAAGGTGCTCTTGTTTATTGCCTTACTTCATTAGACTTTTGGGAGTTATTATTATTTCCTCGTACTGAGGATTCAAATTTGAAGTTACTTTTAAAGCTCGTATCAAGTTTATCGTTTTAGTAGTTCAGTTGGTTCCCATTCTAAACAGGGAATTTCAAATTACCTGCTCCTCCAAAAGAAGCTATTTTCATTGAATCTAGATTAGCACCTATGTTACCCATCCTATACAAAATTTCATTAATAAGTTGATTGATTGATTAAGGAAATGCTATCCATGATAGCTTGAATAATAATAGATTTAGGCTCCTACTTACTCTATATATGGAGCGAAGGATAAAGGCTCTCCATCTAAAGGAACAATTATCTAGTTATGAGAAGATTTTGCAAATGAGTCATTCGAAGCAAGCTAGTCAGTCTAGCTCATGAAACTATATTTTCTTAGATCTATTTTACTTATGTCTATATCTCTATTTCTTTGAGAGCATTCACTAGGTCTAAAGTCATTTGAAATTGGAGAAAGCTCAATCATTGGTTTCTTTTTTTTCTTGAGTTTCTTTGGAAATTTTTGTGATGTATAAAGCATTGAAGTCGTAGCAAGTGATTGCTCTGACCTCATATCCATTTCATCAATACCTTCTTTTCTGAGAGGTTTGTAATTCAAAAATCTCGCTATAAAACTTCATTATTATCTATCGTTTTAAAATAGTGAGGAATCCAATTAGACATGGCAAGAAGATCTTAATTTCAGTTTTTAGATACAGATATCCATACAAAAGTGGGGTATAATACTTACAATTTTACTTGAATATATTTGGCTAATCATACATATCAGCATTCTAAGTCTCAGCAGTTTACTATGAAATCATGGACTGCTATTATTGTTTTTTGTATTCTTGGTACTTTTATATCCTGCGAGCTGTTCTCATATCACTGGCTGACGTTTATGGTCTGATGCATGCATTTCCCATTTTATAAATTTCACTTCAAATATAAACCTAATTCATCATCATCCACTTTTTATTAAACTTCTGTCCTTTGGGGTTTTGGGGTTTTGGGGTTTTGGGGAGATCGGAAGAGCACACGTCTGA